AATAAGCACCGATTATTTTCCTAGACAACATTAACCGGTTGCTGTATGTAGTGGAGATTCAGTGTGGTTCTGAATAATTAAATATTGCCACGATCTGATAGGGACTATAGATGGGATCTGCCCGCGTAATCGAATTTATTACACACCTACAACTCGTAACTAGAAGTAAGGATTATGCTCTCACTGTTCTACATACTTCACAAATTACTATAGGACACGCTAAGTCTTCTTAGTCTGTTACAGTCTTCACTAGCCATTGCCTGGTAGCGGCTTCAAAGGCGGACGTTCCCCTTTCTCTGGGTTCTCGAATTGCCCCCGACCTCAGCTACCAGCAACAGCTCATAACTGAATTCAGCGGTTATGCAGCTCACGCCAACTCCTAAATTGACCTGCTTATAATATCTCAGCATGGACGTCACAGAAAACACCGTTCTTCTGTTACATAACAATTGTTGCGTTCATATCTGTTGGGGTACCACGTGATCGCTACTCAGTCATTGCCTAGCAAAGGCCATTGTTTGCAAATCCATTACTTAATAAGGGCTTCTGTATAATTGCTTATTTCGCAGTAGTTGCCTAGCAGCCGGTCTACATGCCACAATATTATCTGGATACATTTCACGTTACAAAGAACTGACCCGTTTATACAGTATATTCAGTTTATGGCGGTACGGGCCGTGCCATAGCGCAGGCGGTTAGTCGCCGAGGCGGCCCTGGTTTGATCATAGGCCAGGTCACGTGGAATTTGTGGAGGAAACAGTGGCATTGAGGCAGCTTTTTTCATAATACAGCTAGGTCTCGTTGAGTGCGGATAATGAATCCCATGAAGTGGTCGTATTATTCGAATTCGCACTATTCGAAGCTATACTGTATGTGAAATATGGCAATTGGTTCCAACTCGACGGAAATTGGCAATGAAAAATTTTAAACGTAAATTTTTATATGTTTATTAATGAAATATTACAGTAACGGATAAAAAAATAGACTTATAATTTAAATTTATTGTTAACAAAGTTACAGAGTAGTTATAGAGAGCAAAAAAAAATGTAAATGTTATTCCTAAAGGTAAGCGTACACTGACGAAAACATCTCTATTGTCTACCGAAATATTTTAGTATCTTAGACTGAACTGCTTTCTCTTTCTGTACAGCTTCATACATTAGTACGCTGGTGGACGCAGAGTGCTTTATCCACATCTCGGCGAAGTTGCATGCTTCGATCGAGGCTAGGGTTTGCAGCCATAATTTTTTGCTTCACGGCTTCCACAGCACGAAAAAATATATTTAAATTCCTTGAGAGTGAACTCCTTCACTTGCACATCATCTCGTTCTGTCGGCATCATTGTCGGCCTCTTCAAACGCTTTCTCTTGAACTAAAAGTAGATCATCGGCCATTTCTTCCGAGTGTGAACTGAGCAGTTCCCGAATATCATCATTTTCTAGTGTATCAAATCCAAGTTCTCTTCCGATATTTGTTGTTTCTTCTATAACAGTTTCTCCTTTAAAATCACTGCACAGCAGCACATGCACCCACAGAGAGATAAACAAGATCAGACTGATCTAAAAATCCTAACCGTAACCTCAACTGCGCATGCGCTGGCTTCGCCATGACTGAATTTTGGTTCGCATTAAACGCGACCTGGTATCGTTGTACAATTCTCACTAAATCGAATATTGCATCATATGAACTCTCATTAATCGCGACCTGGCTGTATACATGAACGTCTGAATTTTTTTCTGTGTTGTGCTGTGTGTCCTTATAATGGGACGATTTGGCAACTCCCACGTTTTTCTGGGTACAGTTTGAATCAAGTTGTCATCAGTTGTAAATTCCTAGTACTTCAGTGAGATATGTTTCTGCCTGGAACCCGAACTCAGTTCTACTTGCCTCGTGCTAGATCCCACGTGGACTCCCGAAGGATTGAGACCTGGCCTTTGCGGTGGAATGCTGGCTTGTACTCCTCCTGGGCTTAGGTCTGTAGGACATTCGGTAGACGGACATATCCGTTCTATAGCTTGGTTCTCCTTCTGTGATTCCTACTTCCTGTCATTTATCGCAGAATGAATCTACACTTCTATAATGTTAGTCCATCCTTTGCAGTAGGGCGAATTCGCCTCCAAGAAAACTTACCATCTCAGCTTTCAGAGACCTATCACTTAAAGACTGTGAAGAAAACAGTTGTTGTTTGTTCTGTGACGCAACCGAAGTACACACGGCTGAGATATCGAAGTACCGACCTGTAGTTACCATAGTTTCTATGGGATTAATGAATACGTTTTTGAAGAATCCCTGTATCATTAAAAATAATGAGACTCCTTGTCAATACATAAATGCCCGAGGTCTGGGATCCACAAGGTCTTAGCTCGGGTAATGCTATCGTGGTTTCGAGTCTCTCTCACAATTATACTTCGATTTCCCCTGGAAATTTTAATTCCAAAGCTGTTTCTCATGCATTAATACGTAGTTCTATCATCCGACGCTATATAGTCTCGATAGTGACAGCGTCATTAAATAAACAACTTAAAGTAAATGGCGCAGCGAACGGGCTTGAAAAACGAGCTGGACAAATCTGGCTCGGGAATAATTCCAACGGGCTTAGAGCGACGTGGATCCCATATGTTCTATGCCGAGCATCACTTTCTTGTGCAATGTTGCTGCTGTATTCATTTTCATGGTTTTGTATGACTTTTGCATGCTGTGTGCATGCTTTTGTAATGAAATCGTACCCGTATTGAATTTTGAAAGCCACATGCAGATCGCAGATCTGTGTGTACTTTGGAATATTGCCAGTGATCACAGAAAATTGTCTTGCGGACTATGCGTTTGGAAAGTGAATTCTGTCTTTAAAATTCTCAGATCAGATCCGCAGGTATTCGCAAACTGTTCAGTGCGTTCCTGGTATACCCACGTAACGGGAGTTCCTTAACCTCACTTTGCATTCGGATATGAGTATTCTCTACAGATGTGACTTTGTAACTTCGCCTAATACTTCGGGCTTCAATTCACGCAGTGGCTATATATAATTAACGGATCCAAGCTCGATTCTTGCTGAGAACAGAAATAATCAGTAATTAACAAGTTGCGTTCTTTCCTTTCATTGTACTTCTGTTTTTCTTTCTATAATTGTTCCTTTTCTGCTATCAAATCTAACGTCTCCGTCGAGTGGGTCGGTCTCTTGCTTCATATAGAGAGGTCTTGGGTTCGAATCTCGGCCGCAGATTGGCTAAGGATTTTCATGGATTTCTGCGGTCTAGTGGTCAGAATTCCAGGCTACAGATCCAGAGGTCCAGGGTTCGATTCCCGGCTCTACCATATTTTCTGAGAAATAAAGGGTCTGGAACGGGGTCCACTCGCTTCGTGATGATAATTGAGGAGCTACTTGAATGGAAAAGTAGCGGCTCCGGTCCAGAAAACTGAGATTATCGGCCGTGGGGATCCGTTGCGCTGACCACGCGACACCCTCTATCCGCTAAAGTTGGTACTAACATCGTCGACAAGCGGCAGTCGCTCGATCGGTATAGTTTGCTTTCGGACTAAAATCACGGAGTTTAGTTTTTAGTTTTTCCTCAGTACAAATAAATTCCGAAATATTACCTCGATTTAAGCTGCAACCGCTTCCTCCCGCATATTTTCCAGTCAATTATTCATTGATCATACCATTCGATATTGTATAGTCTGATCTACTGGTATCTTGGATAAAAAATCACGAATAAGATCTATATATATAGATCTCATCAGTCTTAACTTACGTTAGCTGCTTAAATGCAGGGAAATCGTTGAACTCAGTCAATTTGATGAATACTGACGACATTGTTCTGAATTACGTGTAATTAACCAACATTGTGACGAAGAGTAACAAAGTCTTACATTCCGTATCCTTACACTGAAATTGGCGTGGCAGCGTTGCTAATTGAGGCACTCTGCTACAAGCCAGAAGGTCGCGGGTTCGATCACCGATTAGCTCATTGAATTTTTCAATTTATCTAATCTTTTCAGCCCTACTATGGCTCTGGGGTAGACTCAGCCTCTAAAAGAAATGAGTACCAGGAAGCCTCCGGGGGGTAAAGGGTGGCCGGCGCGTAAGGCTGATAACCTTACCACCATCTGTGAGCCGATTGTCTAGATAATGTGGGAACCTCGACTTCGCATAATCCTATGGGCCTTCACGGCCTGATACAGTGATAGCTTTTCCCTTTTTTACTTACATACAATCCATTGTTAACGCTTAACTCCTCCCCCACTGCCATTTATATCACCTATCTACAACAAAATGCCGATCACAATGACCGCGCGGCCTAAGGCATGAACTGTCTTCGCTCGACCGAATGGTGGGATCGTGGGTTCGAATCCCACTCAAGGCATGGATGTCTGTGTGTGCGTTTATTCTTTGTTTGTGTTGTCCTGTGTGTGTGTAAATATCGGCCTTGCGACGGGTTGATCACTCGTCCAAGAAGTCCTACCGTCTGTGTAAATAAGCTTATGAAACTGAAGAAGAGGCCAGGGTCGAACAAAGGGCTGCAGAACCATTGTCGAAGGAATGCAATCAATAAAGAAAAACATATTCTGATATTTGAGGTTATCTCGACGTGGAATCGACCAGATTATGTAGCGCTAAGGATCATGGAGTATTAGGTTGAAATCTCGGTGGGGACATTGTTATCCTGGGGTTTTTCATGGTCTTCCTCAGTCCCTTGATGCAAATACCGGGCTAATACTCGATAAGGCCGCAATATGCTCCTCCCAAATCGTTTCGAATTCATCAGTCAGCACACCGTTCGGCTCTCCTTGAGCCAGACACTGACGTATTTACGTAGTTATGAAACCACAGAGGGGAAACGAAAGTTTCGGAGGAACATAGTGCGGAGGTACTTACTGTGTAATATACTACGGCGTACCAGACAGAAGTGTCATAACCCAGGATCTAATCATGTTTACGCATAAGAACACCATCTGTCACAACTCTTATTGTCTTTATATTCACACTTCTGTGTGTGCTGCAGGTAGACAATGGCTGGCTCCGGCATCAAGGAGAAGTTGGGCGTGGAGGAGATTACGAGAGGGATTTGGAAGGCGCTTCTCGCGGAGTTCCTAGGCAACCTGCTGCTTAACTTCTACGGATGTGCGAGTTGCGTCGGCGCTGAAGACAATGGAAAGAGTCCAGTGTTGGTTTCCCTCACTTTCGGGCTTGTCATTATGGCCATTGTTCAGGTAAGAATATCTCCGTATGGCCAACTGACCAACTGGAACACAAAATGCTTTAGGAAGCAACACATCTTCCAATAAAGGTCGCAGTGAAAATGCCATCTCTAGTTCAACTGTGAGAACAAGCAGTAGGATTCTTCTGCAACTGCCACTGGACCAAAGAAACTGGCAGAAAGTAGTAATGATGAAACCATTTATCTGTAAGAAAATTCAAAGTTAAAGAGTTTCCTTGGCGAAATAGGACTAGAAGAAATGCATTCTATGATGACACTGTAATAAGGAGAACAATTCGAGAAAGTCTTTCGAACTGGGAAGACCTCGTTAGACTCTGAATTGCAGCAACTATTATAGACATGAATGATGACAGAAACTGGAGAAAAGTTGATATAGATGTGACGGAGTGATGGAAATAAAAATTTGAAGCAGCCGTTCTTCTCCTGGATTTTTTCCTTAAAATAAAATTTTACTGGAATATGACAACTTTATTAATGTATTCATATATCCGTTGACTAAAGTAGCCATTCTGCTATATAAACCTAATTATCGCATTACAAATTAGCAAACCAATGGTCACCATGGATCGCTTTTTTTCCTGAGAGAAGAAGTTATGATCACTTGGCAACAAAATGGAAATAATCGAAGGAAACTGAGAACACTGTTAGAAATTATTTTATGCGTAAGATTGGAATGAGACTGTGAAAAGAAAGGCTCTCAGAAATTTGTTTATATGGGAGTAAAGCACTAACGCTTCTGACTTGTATTTAGGAGGTGCCAGGTTCTAATCTTATCCAGGACACCTAATGCCCTGACTGAGGTTTTTCATGCTTTTTCTTAGTCCATCCAAGCAAATGGCAGGATAATAACTTAAATTAGGCCAGGGCTGTTTCCTTCCACATGACTTCCAAGTCAGTATTCACTGTCATCCCATCATTCGATGCTGTATAGTCTTGAGATAGCAATGTCTTTGTTAAATTAACTACAAATATACATATACGAGTATACATACACGTCTCTTGAATCATGCGGAGGAAAGTGAATAAGATGGTAAATTTTTGTGTGTCTGGATATACTATATGAATGAGAAACGATCATAACTGATGAAGGGAGTGTACAATTTGTTTTAAATTGTCACAGTAAGGACACAGACTATGCAAGATACTGTGCAGGAGGAGGAGAAAGATGAGGAAATTAAGATAAATACTGGGATAAGACATCTGTTCAGATCTTGGGTTATAATTTTTTATGGTTACAGATGATAAGGTTTGAAGAAACTATGACACAGTAATCTGTAAAAAATGTAATGTCACAAGAACCCGACCAGATGAACCAGCGACTCAATAGGCATGCATGGAGCTACTCCTTTCTTTATTTATTTATGGATGTTTTCATTAACTCATACTATAGAGCGATGAGTGATGGGACTAAGTAATGATCTGGAAAGGTCATGGAAGGAAGGAGTCGTGGCCTGATTTGAGGCATTGGACTTATGCCTGGAGGGACTGAGAAAAGTCATGAAAAATATGACAAGATGGTCTTTAGGGTGAGAGTTGAACACTGGAACTCCTGCATACGAACATCCACTTGACAACAACATTTGGCACTTGCGTTGAATTTAACAACATTGTTGGTACCGTCGTAAAAACACAACATTTCATGACAGACACAGCTTCTACATATCTATAAGCACTAAATGCATTCTTGAAAGAAACGCCCTGGGAATCTTTATGATGGTCCAGGGGTAGAGAAAACCACTTTTGGCTAAAGTCATCACATGGTGGGATGTATATACTCCTCAACAAGCAAAATTTACTTCAAGCATACTGAATAATTGAATCATTTGCTCTGGAATGGGCATGAGTGACTGGAACCAAACCACACTAAGTCTTTGGTATCTGTATCACCGTTTATTACGAAGATGTATCAGTGTTCATAACACAGATACTCACGTCATCTCCTGACACTGCAATTTTACTATTTTACCGTTACGTCTCGAATACTGGAAAGGAGCTGCAGTTACTTTCAATTCATCTCATCAGAGTATTTGTATAATAGAAAGTCTAACTGTAAACACTGCTAATTAGGCAAACCGTTTGGAGCACTGATTAGCATCTCTAGACGTCCACTGATTTTAATAACCCTTATGGTGCATACCAGTGGTTCTTTCCACTTCTGCTGAGCTAACCACCACAGTTTTCGTTATTTTCCTGGCTTCTTTAATAGTCCGAAGGTTATGAGAGTTCAGTAAATCTCTTTGTCCAATAAGTTTAAAAAAAATATTTAGAACAATTATAAACTCTATGAGGCTCATAACTACTCTAATTCCCCCCCCCCCCCTCTCCCCACAACNCAAGAAAATGGAGAGTTGGTCAGCTTACAGGCTTAAGTAAGTTAAACAGTGACAGTAAATGTGTGATTAATTGTTCATGTTATCAATAATATTTTGAATCCACAGGGCTATGAACAATTTCATAGCTTTCTTGTTTAGAATTAATGAAATGGCTTTGTGTTTTTCTGATTGGATAATTGTATGAACAAGTTTTTATTGACTTTTATTGTCTTTCATTATACAAAAAGTAACTGATCAGTTTACTTTTCATTGTATTACATCTCAGCCAGACAATGCTAGTGACAAAAGGGATAGTTCTTCAGACATATCGACCATTAGCACTAAGCCCTCAATGTAATGTATATTTTACATTCTTGATGCAGCCAAAATTACTATTACTAGTACTATCACTACTATTTGTAGTGATGTTCGCTCTCTGAAGATGGTCCACAGAGACCGAAACATGTAAGGGTGTTAAGTGTTTATGTAGTAAAAAGCTTACAAGTCACATTGGACGGAGTGATTTATAATTTGTAACTATTTGAAAAATTATCCAGATATTCTGGTTAAGCTTCCCATGTCGGTATTGTTACTCTAGCACTATATTATGCTTCTGAAATGGCTAGAACTTGGCCAAGTCTATTATTTATATTTCCAAATCTTGGTCGTTACTATTTAATTCTGTTTTATTACGTTAGAAAGATTGTAGAAATTGTTAAGCTTTGTCAATACACGCCTGGAAATGGTTGACCTGAGGCAATGACTTAAGTGCATTATTCACTACTGGTTTGAGTCAGTGTTTTACAAAATACAGCACAATGTAATTAATCCTGGGAACACAGAAAACAGTTGAGCCAAAACTCAACTTGCAACCTAACATTGTGCTAGATATTTCAGAACAGGAATACCATTTAGTAATTCCATACACTTGCAATTTAGAAAGTTAAGTTCCAAAAATAATTTTGACATCTGTTGAATTTGTTGAGAATCTAGTAATGTAAAAATGTTCAAGTTGGTAATAGTGATCTATATTCATTTGTTTTTGTTTTGTATTATAATAAAAAGTTTTCTTCTCATCCAATATGGCTGTTAAGTAATATGTAAGCGCAATACAAAGAAAATCAACAGAATTCAGTTCCATCAAACCTTCAAAAAAATGCACTGGTTCCTGAAAAATGTCAATATTAAAATTTACATCACAGAAACTACTTAAGCATGTTGTCCTATTATTTTTCCAAAAGCTTGATTTCATAGCTCTTTAAGAACGTATTTCCCAATGAACAGCATCACCCTGAATGTAAAGAAATCCAAAAATGGCACAAACCTCAATGGTGAGGGTTCGTTATTGTTCAATACTGGAACCTTGTTTCATCTTCACCATCTCAGTTTTAGTAGTGGATAGAAGTTAACTGTGTCAAGCCACAGACCTGATGTTCAAATTTGATTTCCAGTAGGACACTTCTAATATTCCTCTTCACCACCTCTTCCAAAAGGACCTATGGATATCTGCAGTATTTCCCCAAGGATGGAACTGGTCACAGCATGAATGTAAGCAGTCCATAACTTGATACAGAGAAATTTCAATGTTACACTTATGTCTTGCTGTTCACAGATTTCTTCCAGGTTCCCCATTACAAACAGCTTATTCCATCATTAGAATTACAAGTGGGAAAGATGGAAGATGAGAAGGAAGCAATGTTTAATATTTCATGTCATTTTTTATTTTATTATTCAGGAAATCACCATTCCCAAGGATTTGGGTTATAAAGGTATTCAGACATTGTATATGTTTAATGGTTGCAGTCTGTCGGTCATGTGAGCGGGGCACATGTGAATCCAGCAGTGACATGTGGCATGCTTGTTACTGGGAATATCTCCATTCTTAAAGCACTGCTCTATGTTGCTGTTCAATGTCTTGGGGCAGTTGCAGGCACTGGAGTGCTTAAGGTAATTGTATTCATGTGTTAACATTTACAGCCAACTGAGGAATGGACAGATAGACTAAATGTACACAATGACTGCAAGTGCATTATCTTTACAATAATTTATGATTAGCTAATAGTTTTCACAAAACTATGTAGTATGTACTGTAACATGTCTGGAATCCGGAAGTCACTTCTATGGAAACGCTAGAACAGACCGTTGCATAAGAAGTAACAATAGCGACACTGTAATTCCAACAGTGAGCTGTTGTATCGAGAACATCGAATCTCCTTCGCTCACTTACACACATTACAATCATTTGCACTTGCAGTGTTACAATCACTGCTCACAGTATTCGGCGATGCTGGACTATCTCTTCTGGGGCGGATCCGAGGCTTTCTTCTCCGGAGGCTTGATCACGTCTTTCTTCTCCGAAGACTATTCCGAGACTGACTTCTTCGAAGACTGTTCCGACACTTCTGTCTTCTCCGAAGACTATTCCGAGACTCACTTCTTCGAAGACTGATCCGAGACTGAAGGCTTCTCATCGAAGCTGGCCTATTTATACCCTCGCCGCTGCTAGGCAAATGAACCTTCTGTTATAACCATGGAGACGTTGCTTTGTTTGTCGTTACCGTGGAGATTCGATGTTCTCGATACAACAGCTCACTGTTGGAATTACAGTATCGCTATTGTTACTTCTTATGCAACGGTCTGTTCTAGCGTTTCCATAGAAGTGACTTCCGGATTCCAGACACGTTACAGTACAGTATACGCTTGACAACTAAGGCAGTTTTTATGACCAAGAACCACATCAGTCTGTCAACCCTGTGTGTGTTATTCCTAGTAACATATAATCCTATTTTTGTCATCCAGTCTGGGTCCTATGTTTGGGAATAGAAGGCTAAAGGTCAAACTCCCTTCCACCTTACACACACTATTAAGTTTTATTTAAAATAAGCTTAAATTGCTGTATATATTCAGTTTTAAAATTATGGAATAATGATTATTCTTGCAGAAAATACCAGTAATTTTTATTTTTTAAGTATGAATCTACAACAGGTGTGTTGAAATTGATAGAAAGCATTTGTGGTGAGCACCTCATTTTATGGACTCACTGCCCACTGCCTTCGTAATATGAAGGCACCCATTTTTGAGGTGAAAGCCCTAATGAGACAAAGCCTCTAAAATAGGTTCCATGTTCAGTCTTATGATATTTGAACAGGATTACTAACATGGAAATATGAAAAGCTGGAACAAACATCATGAGATTTTGGACAAATCTTGGGAATTACTGGTAGTTGAAAACATTGTTTTATAACTAACTGAAATTAATAGTACCTTGAGACACACCAGTTTCTGAACCACTTATTGCAAAACAATGCAGGATCTTAAGGGAGGAAAAAAACTGAACCCCAATTTCTTCTCTGCTGCAATCACACAGGTTGTATACCACTTGGATATATGCCTCAAATGTTCTGGCAATTATGTGGAGAAACAGATGGTCTGTCAACTATTACTTGTTCTCTCAGAGATATATGTTGGAAGTAATAAATATAACCTACCCTTGGATATTACTTATTGTACAATCTGTGTAAGATTCTGAATGTGAGAAGGTTAGTACTACCTCAGCTTAAATTCTTGAAAGTGTCCCTACCTAAGAATATTACTAATGCAAAATAACAGTCCTTTTGTGAAATAATAAGAAAATCTGGGTTAATGGTTTCACTAGGACTAGAAAATTGTTAAAGAGAGGATGGATTTCTTAGTGTCCCAACACTGCATTACATTATGTAGGAATGTGGGTATTGATTAATAGATTTAAAGTTGACATAAGTACACCGGCTGTTTGTGACAAACAACACATCAAAGAAGAAATACAATTCAGGACCTCCATACCAGATGAAAATTATTTCCTATGACTCAGCATTCCTTAATATGGTAGGATTTAAATACAACATTACAAAAGACAAGAAAATCAGACTGTTAGGAAAAGTATAAATAAATCACAAAAACCAACAAATATTATGTAGTTCAGGAGAAAGACACAAGATATATAACATAATCTATGGACAAATGAATCATGATCTGCACACAGACCTGGCGAATGGAAATTTGCATCTCATGCTTTTGTGTTGTCACACCATGTAGGGTGTTGGCTCACTTGGAAACTGGGATCATGGGTTCGAATCCCACTCAGGGCATAGATGTTTAGTTTGTGTGTGTGCGTTTTTCTGTGTTTGTGTACAGGTAGAGGCCTTGCGACGAGCTGATCACCCACCCAAGGAGTCCTACCGAATGTGTAAGATCTGGAAAAAACCGAAGTGAACAGAGAAGTTCATGGAGGTAGGCCTAGGCCCACTGGGGCTGTAGTGCCAAGGGGGAAAAAAATGTACAGGTAGACTGGTATAAGACACAGTGGAGATTTCTCTGCAGCCAGGGACCATACAACAGTGCGTATAAATTGCAATTAAAATTTCCGTTAGTATAATCAAGCCTGTTAGCACATGTTTATCGCGACAAAATTCAGAGTTTCGGTCGAAGACAAAACGTTTACGCCGAGTGAGGAGAGCCACGCACTGTACAGCATATGTATAAATGAACCAGCCCCCCCCCCCCTAAAAATAGTAGTGTATATCTAGAGTTAGATCGGTTGGTTGTCATCTCAAATTGAACGGACGAAGAACCCCCTTCGTGAGTCATGTACATCATCTGATATTTTTTGGTAAGAAGATTAGATACAAAAATAATCGAAGCCAATACCTTCACAACGTTTATTAGAGCATGTCTTTCAATGAAAAGTGAGCAATTAAGCTCTAAGATGAAATGTACCATCCACAGAGCATTATTTATGCCTGCAATGTCGTATGCTTGCCTTGGGATTTGCGGCAAATACACCCGTTTCGAAAGTGCATGGTGGGCCTTTGGTAAGGCACTGGTGTATGGTTTAGCGGAGTTTAAATGCCCGACTGGCCAAAATGGGGTACTTTGGCCACGACGACTATACTGATCACTGACACAAACGGGGCACTTCAGACGTTAAAGGTTAAACACAATGCTGGAATTGTTTAAGCGCCCTAACAGGAACGGACATTTAAACGCAGAGTAGCAGCGGGCATTTAAATAAACTCCGGCCAGCTCAAGCTTACCACCATTTCAGAAGTCCGGCGTTTAAAGGTTAAATAGCTGAGTAATATCGAGGGTGGCCGGTGGTTTAGAGGTAAGGTGTATGGTTTAGAAGTTATGTGGTCAGAAGACATGACTATTTTTTTGAAAAAAAAAGAACGTAAGAAATTTGTGCATCTAGGAAATAAGTGGTACTATATGAGGAAGGTGAAGGTAACAAATTTGTATAGATGTTGTGGTACGTGGGTAAGACATTGGCGTAGAATTGGGAAGGTACCGGGTTCTAGACCACGGTGTCTTTTGTCAATAGAAATTGAAAAGTGAATAAATAAATACGATTTTTCTGCAGCTATAAACCAAGTCGTATAATATAAGGATGATCGCAGACAGCTATAGCATAAATGTTCTGGTGGCGTAGAGATAAGGCAGAGGCGCAGTAAATATAAGGTTCGTGGTTCGAAAACAGAAGTATTTTTGTAATGAGATTTTTATGGAATTATATAGCGAAATGTAACATAAGATGAAGATTAAAGGTCAAAAATTTCCATGGCATTGGTGGCCTATTGGTAAAACACCGGCCTAGTGAACAAGAGTTCGAAGATTCGAGACCAAGTATATTTTTGTGATTTAGAAAGTAAGTTAATTGATTTTTCTGGAATTATAACCGAAGATGTAGCTTAAGAGGAAGATAAAAGAAAATAAATTTCAGTGGAGCTGGTGGTCTGGGGGTAAGACATCAGCTTAGTGTTCAGAAGGTCCCTGGTTCAAAACCAGTAAGATTTTTGTGGAAAAGAAAATGGAAAGAAGTCAGGAGATAGGGTAAAGGAGGAGGGAGAGATAGAGGGAGGGACCGGGGTGATGGAAGAATATTTTTTTTTGTGGCCGCTCATTAAGACACTCAACCTAAGCGGGTTTTATTAAAATTCACATGGGATCAAAAAGAAAAAAAAATCGGTCCACCATCCGCCCTCCAACCACCCACCCTTAGGGGTGACTTTGACTTATTCATTTGAGACCAAGTTCTATGAGCGAGATTTAGCAAGAAAATGTAATATAACTGCAGCGCATTCTGTGGACTAAAAGCTCATGGAAAGCCACGAAGTGAAGTAAAGAATGTTACTCTCTTATTGGGCTGTGCAAGCCGCTCCTCTGAAAATTCATTTATAGGGCTAGGGCTGCAGGCACCGAATATGAGATCATGGAAGCATGCAGTCCACCCATGCCCTCCCTTTGGGTCATGCACGAATGTAATCGCTTGACACAAAGCTACGTAGCGAGAGTTAAGAAAATATTAAATAACACTGTAACGCCATCTGTGGAGTAATGTTCAGGTTTCAATCCACAGATGGCGCTACAGAACTGTAGCGCCATCTGTTGAACATTACAACATCTGTTCAACAGATGGCGCTGCACTTTATTTCGTATTCTAATAACTCTCGCTGATTTAGCTTGGTCTCAAGTTATTAACTTTCTGCGTGAGCCCAAGCGCGGTCGTGGGTACGGTTCCACGCTTTGCCATCTGTGGAGTAATATTCAACAAATGGCGCTTTTTATTATTTCATATGAATATGAATACTATGAAAGCGTTCCCATGTTTCGTCATCTGTGGAGTAATGTTCAACAGATGGCGCTACTTTTTTATTTCATATGAATACGAATACTAGGGAAGCGTGGGACTCCACCTTCACCCGCTCTTGCGGTCAGGCAGGAAGTTAAATGACTTCAGATGAAGCTGAATCAACGAAAGTTAGGAAGAAAATATTTAAAACTGTAGCGCCATCTGTTGAACATTACTCCACAAGTGATTAACTTTCTTCAGAGGAGCGGTTTGCAAAGCCCAATAAGATGCTAAGATGCTATATTTTAACTACACTTCGTGGCTTTCCATGAGGTTTAAG